GGATGCTTAAAGGGAAGAAAATGCTTGTGTTGATCATTGATATTGTACTGATGAGAAACTTTTCAATCTGCAATATCTAGACTGTAACTAAAGTCTTACTTTGCACAGTATGTGAGCTTTTATTAGCTGATGATTGAACTCTGAAGGCTACCATCCCTCTAAATATGCAAAGAGGTCTTGATGTATTCTCCTCAGCATGTAACAATGTTGGGATGAAGATCAGTACTGGTAAGACAGTGAAGATGTACCAACCTGTTCTAATAATACCTTACGAGGAGCCAGTTTTGAAGATACATGCACACACAGCTTTACTACAGTGGATACTTTCACATATCTTGCCAGCTTTGTCTCCTGCTGCATTCTCAGTGATGATAAAGTGACCTCACAAATCAGTGAGGCCAGCACTGCCTTTGGAAAACTTAGATCCTTTGTGTGGAATGAACATGGAATCAATCCGTCTGTTAAGCTGAAAATGTACAAAGCTGTTGATCTATCCTCTCTATTTTATGAAGTGGGGTCTTGAACTATCTATCAATGCCATGCACAAAAGTTCACTCACATTTGTTTTAACTTCTTTTCGGAGAATTTTCAACATCATATAACAAGATAAAGTCTTTGAAAATGAAATCTTAGAGCAAACACAGATGACAAGTATTTTTATATTCTTGGGACAACAGCTTCAGTGGTTGGGCCATGTAATTGGGATGTCAGCTGATGATCTTCTTTTGAAAGCTTGTTTCAGGTGTTTGATTGTGTAATGGACAAAAGAAACAATTCAAGAACATGCTGAAGACAACATTGAAAGAAATGAAATATTGATCATGTCAATTAGAAAGTTTTCACTCAAGACCAAAGTATCTCAACAAATTCTATCAAAAAAGGGGCTAAAGAATTTGAAATAAGGAGAATCAAAAATGAACAAAGAAAGAGAGAAAGCAAGTTGTAACATCTTAACAGCCCAGTGAGTCAGCTAACCACTCCCACTGTTTTTGTATCTTCTGGGCTCATAATGGGATAGTCAGTCATCTGCAGGCCCATCAGTGTACTGCTGTTCAACTGTAACCATTCACTCCTTTCCCCCCCTCCCTAGATAGTGAATCTAATAGAGATTATCTTCTCCCAAAACAAAGATCAAACTATATATGGGTACCATGTACAGTCAGAAAGACAAATGAATGGGTTCTAGGTCAAATCAAATATAATCTCTCCCTATAAGCTAAAATAACTACACTTAGGCTTTTGTTCTTTGGCCATACCTTGACAAGATGACATAAGATTCACTGAAAAAGATAATAAATATTACAAAAAATAGAAGACAATAAGGAGAGGTAGGCTGAACATTTAATGGATTAACTCAGTAAAGGAGATCAGTTTGTAGTTTGAAATACCTGCACAACCTGTTAATGTCTTGATCTTTTAGAGGACATTAATTCTTAGGATTACTGTAAGTTTGAAATAACTTGATGACACATATAAGCAAAATTCCATTTGCATGGATGACATGAAGGCAACAAGAAATGAGGAAGAATGCATAAGAGATGGATTGACCCAATGAAGAAATTGTCAGTCTTGAATTTGCAAGAGCTGACCAGGACTATTGACAACAGGACTTTTTGCAGGTTCCCAATTCATAGGGTCACCATAAATCTGATGTAACTTGACAGCACATGAAAACAACAAATAATTTGCACTGCTACAAGGGGAGCAGAAAGTCTTTTATTATCCAACCCTCCTTTTTTTTATTTAGGCATGGGAATTTGCTGTCACCTGAGAGTTGGGATTGATAATTTGCCAAAACTTTTTTTTAAATGAACCTTTCATTCTGAACTGCTATTTCTTGAACTCAACAGGCAAAACTGTGAAATTTCAGTAGCTGGGTGTCAATCTCCTTTTAAAGACTCTGTTAAAAGAATACAAATGCAGGAGCAGGTGATGACTTTATTAGACAATTAAAAATCAAGCAAAGAGTTTCTTTAAAGATTCTTCTAAAGTCTGTATTGAAAAAATTGTAGTTACACTACACTACATAGCTGTACAAGTCCCACCATTTTAGAATACTGAAATCTTAATATTGCTTCAATGTCCCTATTTTCTTTGTATTCATTCCATTTTGTTATATTTTTGTGTGTGTGTATGTGTGTGTGTGTACATATATATAGTGTGCATTACATTGTTGGTTTTCAGCTGAAATTCATTAAATATAACAGCCTACCCCCAATGGTGAGGTGTGAAGATGTTTCATAAAAATTAGATTAAATAATTTGAATAAGTAATGATACATTATTATGTCATTATTGGTTTTCAACAGTGAGATGTGGGGAGGTTTTATGACAATGAAATTGAATAATTTGAATAAATAATACACACCAAACAAATTAGTAATTTAATAACTAAAATGTATATTTAAAAGGGACAGTAATTTTAAAGAATTTAATGCAAAATATTATCTGTGCTCTGGCTTGTAAAGATTAATGCAAAATGAACACCATCTGATGGCCTGTACATTCTCAGATGGAAAAAAAACCTATGTTAAAATGATTAGTTTCAAAGACTTCTTCATTCTAGGATGCCTTTTCAAAAGTTTCCTTTGAATGCAAACTGTGGATAGTCTCAGGGTCTTTTCAACTCTGTTCCCTTGATTTTAAAGGCCCATCCTGCCTTCCTCCTCAGCCTAACAGTGGGATGTAAATCTATGCTTGTCTCATGTGAAGATGAGGTGCAAAAGAAGTGTCCTTCTTGCCTACCAAGTGGGCACAATATCTTTTCACACTCTAAAAGATAATTCTCACAATAGGAACAACAGTCTTTGTGCAAATTACATCAATTGTGCATTTGCACAAAGTGATAATGTGTGCTGCTTTGTTGTGTAGACTTTGAGGGGTCAGAAACATTAGATGGAGATTCTGCAACCTTTTTTAAAGAAAGAAAACATTAGCAAGTTGTTGTATGACTCCAGTGCCTGTTTTGCTTTACAAAGGGAAAGGGCACTATTTCTGTGCTTGAGGTATTTTGCACAGGTTGCGAACACCTTGACCAGCGATAGATTTTCTGCTTTTTGTGTACTTTTCTTAAGATGGGACACCTCATAGTGCCAAGACATTTCATCAAGATTTCTTGTCATTTAAAGATGCCCCTAAATCGGTTGCTTCCAACCTTGGGTCCCCAGATGCTCTTGGACTACAACTCCAAGATGCCTTCACCACCTCTGCTAGCCAGGATTTTTGGGAGTTGTTGTCCAGGAGCATCATTTAGCTGTGCTAAATCAATGGTCCCAATAATCTTTATCTCCCTTTCTGGTTAAAATGTCCTTTAAAAAACAAATTACATGTTTCCTTGGAATGCACACATGGGTTACAATGCCTGGGGAAATTTCTGGTAAGTTTCCTTGTTTCAGCATGCTCTAATACTGTGACTTCAGAGAGTACACTACGGATAACAATATCATCCTTAGACCAATGGTCCATCTAGTCTAGTGGTGTCATGTCAACTCTAACTGGCAGCAATTCTCTGTAGTTTTAAACAGGATACTTCCCTAATGCTTACCTGGAGATCCCTAATATTCCTTGTTGGTCTACACCCAAGTGCTAAACAGACCCTGCCTCCTTAGCATCTAAGATCAGAAAACATCAGGTTATTCTAAGTGCTATGGAGGCTTCCCCAGTCCTTGTACCTGATCAGATAAATTGTACAGAGGCATCCATACCTTGTATTTAGATATGCTTAAAGGGAGAGAGGTGAGAAAAAGGATCATGTTTAAAAAGAGCAATAACAGTAATTTTGGAAAGGGAGAAAAGTGGAACAGCTGACTTGCATAAACTCTGACCTTGTGGCTTGAAAAGGGAATTTGTAGCTGGTCAAATGAAGGAGAAAGCCTTCCATTGGATGCAATGGCATTCTCTTTGAAGTCATTTGATTTCATGCCTGGGAGGTGGACCATAGAGAAAAGTTTCTCTCTTCAGTCCATTCTTCTCCAGAGTCTACTGAAGTCAGACAAAACTGCTGATTGCAGGTTGGGAACTACTCAGATGGACAGCATAGTCATATGGCACTCTGGGCTTTAAAAGACCTTGATGCCTATTCTATATTTCTCATTCCTGTGGGGTAAAGAGGGGCACTGACATCTGTGAGCATAATCTATTTTAAACATTTCACTCCATTTTCCTTTTCAGTTTGAATGCAAGCATTTCAACTACAAGCAGATATTATTCTTTGCATTTTTAAATGCCTCATGCTTGACCTCTTTGTTCTTTAGATAGAAAGTGTCTTCAGATACACGTACAATAATTCTCTTCAATGGTTCTGTTGCTTCAAGTACACTTTGATCCTTCCTCTACATAGATCCATTAAATTCTTTCTGACACCACCATTACCTCCTGATTAAATTATAGCCTTGAATCCAATTGGGTGTCATGTATTCTTATCGAGACATAAAGTGTTATTAGTTTGATAATGCTTCTTTCTCCTCTATTACATTTGCTACACCACTGCTGATTTTAAATCTTTTGATTTATTGATTTATTTATTTTTTTAAAGAAAAGGTGCTCTGTAAAATGTCTGGATCAGAAAGAAACCTGATGAGAAATGGATACTTGCTTGTCTCTGAGTTTTTCTCAGAGATCATGCTGACTTTTTCTGTGTAACAGTTTAAGACCAATATAGACTCAAACCTGCTCAAATAACTGGCAGCTGTTCTTCCTACTGCAGTAGATATAGCATATTTACCTTTAGACAGCATATTTACCTTAAACTTAAAAGCAGAAATATCTGACACAAAAAGCTACTTTAGGGCATATTCAAAGGATAATTTCCACACAGTGGGATATTTTGAAGAGTAGGTCAGCATCTCACATTGCTTTTGAAATTCTTCCAGTGTTTTAGAATCTCCTTTTGGTTATTTTTTAAGAGCCTTTCTGTCTTGGTTCAAGTGTCTATATATTTGAAATGAAAAGACAAAGAGATATTCAGGTAGCAATGTGATCCGTACTCTCTTCTCTTTACAGGTAACGTTCAAAGCCTCAAGATATTCAGTTTCTCCAGATTTGAAATATGTTCTCCTTGCATATGACATCAAACAGGTAAGGCAGCTGGAAGAAAAAGAACTACTGGAATACACAGTAATCAGATGTTGAACCATGTAGTAAAAATATTATTTTATGATTTTTATTTTACTTGCTTTGATATGAGTGACAATATGTGTTCGTGAAACCAAATCAAAGTCTTGGTGTGGTTTTTCTTTCCAGATTAAATTTGTTTGGATGAGAATTTAAACTGATGCATTGCTAGTCATTCTTTTTGTTATTTTCCATAAGGCTGATGATTTTTAAGTGTGATTGCCCTTACTGTTGTTTATTGCTTTTGAATACTGGTGTTTTCAAATTGTAATGTAACTCTATGGGTGAAATCACATGTGCTGACAGAGAACTACATGTGCTGGAAAGATCTCCTACTTAAAACCAAACAATTACAAACAGCATTACGGGAAGATGGAACAGATGAGATAGGTACCACATGATTATTTATGGAGCACTGAAATGCTACAACTGTTGTTTCATTTTGTAGAAAACATACATAAGAAGGATCAGTGTTTGGGAGATTATTGCTATTCAGATGACCTGCAGAATAGTTTTTCTGCCTTATGTACACAAGGCAATGAAAATTATGGTTTTAAAACAATAATGGTAAATTCTGCTTAAAATACTAAAAGATTTAGAAATATGTTTCTAATCAGCAGTCAAATATATTTTGGAGGACCTGCTTTGTCATGCTATAAAATGGTACAAAATATGTTTTCTCTTTATTCTTTCTTTTGTTAGTGATGTTCACTATATTTTGAGAAATAGAGTCTGAAATGGCAATGGGATGTCTTTAGTAGGGCTGGTAAAGTGATTGTTTCAGACAGCAGATGCTGAAGAGCATGGAGCTGACAGATCTGTTCTCTACCACTGTAAACTATCCTGCTTTTTTCCACTGCAGTTGATGGTGTCATTTTGTTGTCCATGCTAAAGCAATATTAAGCTGATGTTTTGTTGAGCTTTTATATAGTACATAGAACTGTCTGGGAAACTTGTTATGTTGTATTTTGTGTAAGGAAGCAGTGTTAGAGTAAGAATGGAGTTAGATCATACCACAAGTATCTTTGCCCACATGGTGGATTGCCATGAAGCATGAAAAATGCGCACTCATGGATGCAGCTAGGAAACCTACATTCTATGGTCTGACACAATGACCCCTCCCCTACCTCAGTCTCTCACCTTTATTAAGCCTGGGTGAAGGAAACCTTCCAAAAACAGGAGTGCACAGAGGCTGAATTGGAGAGGTCTGAGTTTTGAACCAATCTAGTTTAGGGTGTTCAGTGGCTGACCTTTTAATGCAACTGCTCAGTTCCAAATGTAGACCATGGGTATCTAGTTAATAACTTGGGTTGAAGAAAGAGCCATAGTCAGGGCATCACCAAGACCCATAAACAATATATTTGGGATTCCCACCAGAAGAAAGATTGAAATGTGAGTGGTCCTCAAAGGACTGCATTAAGATTATTTAAAAATGGTAAATTGACTGTATGCATAAGTGGTCCTCAAAGGACTGCATTAAGATTACTGTATTAAAAAATGGTAAATTGACTGTATGCATGCTGCTGACTCCCCTCCTCAATCAAGAGGTGGCGATTCCTCCATTTCCAAATCCATTAAATTGGCACCGGTGTCAGTAACAACAAGGTTTATTACACCAGGGGAAAGGTAAATTGACATCTAACAAACTAGTCAACAGATCCGATTTGGATCCCTGTCCCTGTATTTTCTCTCCTCACAGAAATGGGGTTGGGGAGGAGGATGAAGGTATTGGTATCCTTCACCTCCTCTGCCTGAAGAGTTTCCCCAACTCCTCCTGAGTGTCTTCCCAGGTCTCTTCCTCCTCTTCTTCGACTGCTAGGTCCAGTTCTCTTCCACGTCCCTCTCTCTGTCTGCCACCTCCACGTCTTCCAACAACTCACTTCTATCCTCTAATTCCCAACACCCTTTGTCCCCTTCTCCGTCCTGGAGGGTGTTCAGTTGGAGATGTTGTTGTTGTTGACTCCTCATGACCCCATGGACCAGAGCACACCAGGCCCTCCTGTCTTCCACTGTCTCCCGGAGTTTGGACAAATTCATGTTGGTAGTTTGATGACGTTGTCCAACCATCTCATCCTCTGTCGTCCCCTTCTCCTCTTGGCTTCACATCAGGGCCTTTTCCAGGGAGTCTTCTCTTCTCATCAGATGGCTAAAGTATTGGAGCCTCAACTTCAGGATCTGTCCTTCCAGTGAGCACTCAGGGTTGATTTCCTTCAAAATGGATAGGTTTGTTCTCCTTGCAGTCCAGGGGACTCTCAAGAGTCTCCTCTAGCACCACAGTTCAAAGCATTAATTCTTCGGTGGTCAGCCTTCTTTATGGTCCAGCTCTCACTTCCGTACATCACTACAGGAAAAACCATAGCTTTGACTATGTGGACCTTTGTCGGCAAGGTGATGTCTCTGCTTTTTAAGATGCTGTCGAGGTTTGTCATCACTTTCCTCCCAAGAAGCAGCCATCTGTTAATTTTGGGGCTGCTGTCACCATCTGCAGTGATCATGGAGCCCAAGAAAGTAAAATCTGTCACTACCTCCATATCTTCCCCTTCTAAATTTGAACCATAGCTTTGACTATGTGGACCTTTGTCGGCAAGGTGATGTCTCTGCTTTTTAAGATGCTGTCGAGGTTTGTCATCACTTTCCTCCCAAGAAGCAGCCATCTGTTAATTTTGGGGCTGCTGTCACCATCTGCAGTGATCATGGAGCCCAAGAAAGTAAAATCTGTCACTACCTCCATATCTTCCCCTTCTAAATTTGCCAGGAGGTGAGGAGACCAGTGGCCATGATTTTAGGGTTTTTTTATATATTGAGCTTCAGACTGTTTTTTGCCATCTCCTCTTTCACCCTCATTGCAAGGTTCCTTAATTCCTTAATCCTTATGAGCCTCGTGGCGCAGTGGTTAAAACGCTGTACTGCAGCTAAAACTGTGCTCACGACCTGGGGTTCAAATCCCAGGTAGCCGGCTCAAGGTTGACTCAGCCTTCCATCCTTCCGAGGTCAGTAAAATGAGTACCCAGCTTGCTGGGGGGGCAATGTGTAGCCTGTATAATTAAAATTGTAAACCGCCCGGAGAGTGCTTGTAGCACTATGGGGCGGTATATAAGTCCAATAAATAAATAAATAAAT